GATGCTCCTGCCTCAGCCTCTTGAGTGCTGGGATTTGAAGCATGCACCAGCAGGCCTGCTTATTTATTTTGAGACAAGTTCTTGCCATGTAGTCCAGCTTGGCCTCAAACTCAGTGATCCTCCAAGTGTTGGGATGACAGCCATGCGCCACTGTACTCAACTATTTATTATTTAGATTTGGTAAGCAAGTAAACAATTCATGTTGAAAATGCTTATTCTAGGGGGGCTGGGGAGATGGCTCAGTGGAATAAGCGCTTCCCTGGCAAGTGCAAGAGTCTGAGTTCAAATCCCGGTTCCACCCCAAAAAAAAAAAAGGAAAATGCTTATTCTAAACCCATTACATATTAAAATTTTATTCTATGCTATTGATATTTTATTTTGCTGTTAGGTACATGTTGTCTTTTTTTAAAATTTTATTTATTTATTTTTGTGTGTGTGTGTTTGTGTGTGTGGCCAGTTCAGCCCACCAGGGGGCGGGCTGGCTGGCATGTGGTGCTGGGGGATTGAACCGCGATCCCTGTGCTTTAGCTAAGCTTGTTCTAAGTAGGTGCTTTACACCACTGAGCCATCTCACCAGCCCATGTCTTTTTGAGACAGGGACTAACTGAACTTCATGGCAAAACTGTGTCTCAAAAAGAAAAAAAAAAAAGAGGCTGCGGAGATGGCTCAGTAGAATAAACGCTTGCCTGGAAAGCTCAAGGGCCTGAGTTCAATCCCCAGTTCCACCAAAAAAAAAAAAATTATTTTGTAAAAATAAAAATTGCTGTGACACCCTTATTGAGAGCATAAAACACAGCCAGATGTGGTGTTACGGGACCTTAATTCCAGACTTCGGAATGCTGAGACAGGAGGATCACTACAGTTCAAAATCAGCCTGAACTATATTGTGAGACCCTGTCTTAAAAAAAAAAAATCAGTGGGGCTGGAGAGATGGCTCAGTGGTCTAAAGCACCTACTTGGAACAAGACCGCGGTTCGATTCCCCAGCACCACATGCCAGCCAGCCGCGCCCCGTGGTGGGCTGAGCTGGCCACACACACACACACACACACACACACACACACACACA